GCAGAGAAGCAGGCTTCCCATTGAGCAAGGAGCCCAACACCTGTCTCAATCCCAGGACCCTGGCTTAATCCCACACCCTGGGATCATGACCTGAGCCAAAGACAGATGCTTCACCAGCTGAACCAGCCAGTCACCACCACCCTTCCCCTCCACCTCCCATTTACCTAAACTTTGATTTGGTAATATCTTAAGGAGAGCACACAGGACAAAGGAGCACCAGTAAACAGTTTGGTGTTTACTTGGTGCTGGGGAGGCACTTACCTGGGGAGGTCCTCAAAGGCTCAGCCAAGGCCCCACCGTGCACGGATGACCATATCTACTTATATCTAAGAGTTCATGGTGCCAGGGGTTACACAATAAACAAGGAGTTTGAAGACCTTAATTCAATTCAAGTCTCAGCTCTGCCATGTGCTAATTGGTGTTGTCTTTGACAAGTCAGGTTTCTTATCTAAAGAGTCTCATTCACATCTATTTAATGGGAATAATAACATACAGACTTGTTGCCCTTCTGGGATCATTACAAGGCTTCATGAGATGTGTGTGAAAGCACATTGCAAACTGCACTGTCCTGTGACATAACAGAGTATAATTTTGTAAAGGGGCTACCCCACATCTCCCTGTGTCTTCTATCACATCTCTCGTCCTTTGCTTTGAGATTTTGGGGGTCCCTTTGTCAAACCTGTCTTCATAACCCTTTAAACATAGCTTTTGAGTAATAGTATGGGAAGAACAAATTAAGGTCTTCTTTATTAAAATTATACTAATCTTTGGGGCTCCTGGGAGGCTCAGTGGGCTTTGGGGCACCTGGGTGGCTCAGTGGGTTAAAGCCTCTGCCTTTGGCTCGGGTCATGATCTCAGGGTCTGGGGATCAAGCCCCTTGTCAGGCTCTCCGCTCAGCAGGGAGCCTGCTTCCCTTCCTCTCTCTCTGCTGCCTTTCTGCCTACTTGGGATCTCTGTCTGTCAAATGAATAAATAAAATCTTTCAAAAAAATATACTAATCTTTGAGAAAAGTAAGATTACCTAGCAGAACATTTTATTAAGCACTTTCCAGCACTATTTTATTTTATTTTTGCAACAACCTTAAATGTTTAAGAACCATATAAATATTAGGTAAGAGAGAAATCTGAAGATTACCCTCTATGTGAGCCTGGGTCATGAAAATAGTCCTTGCCATCCCCAAACAATGTCTCAGTGAAAATCAGGTTATCTTAGAGAATACTGGAAACTATAATTAAGAATATGTATAGTTCAGCAAAAGAAAAGTGTTAGCCCCCATCTAAGTCCATGGCTTCGCTCTTCACTGTCTGTTTGGCCTTGGGCCAATAAACTTATTATCTCTGCACAGTGTTACTGGTTTTGTTTTTTAAAAAAACGAGGTCAGGGTGCCTGAGTGCCCCAGTGGGTTAAGGCTCTGCTTTTGGCTCAGGTCATGATCTCAGAGTCCTAGGATCGAGCCCCGCATCGGGCCCTCTGCTCCTCAGGGAGCCTGCTTTCCCCCCTCTCTCTCTGCCTGCCTCTCTGCCTACTTGTGAATCTCTCTCTCTCTGTCAAATAAATAAATAAAATCTTTTTTAAAAATGAGGTAAAAAATGTCTGTCCAGTGGATGATTTAGGGTTATTGACTACAGTATTTGTTTTACTTTGTTTGTGTCTTTTGGTTTTGTGAGACAGGGACCACACATGTAACCCAAACAAAGAGGTTCTGTTCTAAAGACAGGTGTGGAGTAGCAAAAGAATTCGTGAATCAGAGGGCAGGAGGCACACCGGGCCTGGGCCGTCCCAAGTATGGAGACTGGACCTTCTCACTCTTGGGAACCTGGCACCGAAATCTGGGAAGCCCACCCTTGGTCAGCCTGCTGGGTTGCTTCTGTTGCTCTTCCAAGTCTTTTCCCTTTAATTTCCCTACATCCTGGCTTTTTCACTTCTGCCTTCCTAGAGCACAGGTCAATGGGGCCCTCTAGTTCAGTTTTATCTTTTGATGTCCTTCCTGACGAAAAGTTGTTTTTATTGATATGTGTTTCCTAATTCAGAGTTTTGGAGAGAACACTCATAAGAAGCATTGGATTCCTGCTTAGGTTAGGAATGGCCACTCCTCCAACCTTGGGCCCCCACTGTTGCAATCCGCTGTCGAGAGATAAGTGATAAACATGGCCCCTAGGACACGCCACTTTAGCCAGGGCCGTGGGTGAGGTTCCCATGAAGAGATGCTGTATGTAAGCGTTCAAGTTCTAGACTTTGCTTGCATTCAGATCCTGACTTTGACCGTTTCGAAAGGTGAGACCGTCAGCAAATTACTTCATCTTGCTCAGTCTCTGTTTTCTCGTCTGAACAATGGGTGTGATAGTTCGTACCTCGTAGGAGTATTGTTGAGTCTTAAATAATGAAAGTAAACTACTTAGCACAGTTCTTGCCATAAACTGAACCCTCAGTAAAGGCTTGCTCTATCCATCTCAGGAGCAGGTACGTGGACGGGCACCTTGCACTAGGTCTGGTACAGCATGTAAAGGTACTCCATTAATAAATGTTCACCACTCTTTGTGTGGGCATGAATACTGGCCCATTCCCTGTCCCCTGGAATATACCCACTTCCTGTTTCTTTCCTGAGGACAGGCGGTGTTCTCCACAACCCCAGCAGAATTGCTGCTTGCTTCACTGTGGAAATGGAATGCTATGGGCTTTTCTAAAGTCGGTCTTACTTGGCCTTTCTCGCTGGATTTGAGCAGCTGGCTCTCAGCTTACAGTGTGCCCACGTCATGCTGCATGGGAGTCCAAGGCAGCCCTACTGAACAGCATAACAAGCGTCTAGGATGCGACCTCCAGGGGACTAGCAGGTTTACAGAACTGTCAAGTAATTTCTTCTGGCATTGTCCATCAGGGTGTTGGGAAATCATAAGTTTTCACATAAAGGAAAACACTGGGCTAAAATATGCAGGAAAGAGATGGAGTGCTTGATCTGGGACATAGAAATTCCTTTTATTGTTATACGGTGATGCTTTCTTTATTTGGTTGGGTTGGAAAATGGGCTGTCTCACCCAAGTGAAGCTCCTGGGTATAGCCAAGCTTTCCTATCACAGTTCTGAAACGGTTTTTAACTCTTGTTCAGTGGGAGTCTTCCTAAAACGTACCATGTACTTCTGCCTTCTCAAGAGAAGATACACATCTGAGTGCTAGCGTTTATTGGACACTTACTGTGTACCCGGCATCTTGCTTAGGTGTTTACCTGTCACTCATTTTCCCACCACCCCTGTGAAACAGGTACAACCATAGCCTCCACTTCACCGACCAGGAAACAGAGGCTTGCAGAGGCTAAGGAACGGGTCCGAGGTGACACGGGCAAAAGTGGTGGAACCAGGATTGGTGCCCAGGCCACTCCAGGCTCTTAAGAACCTGACCGTGCTACCGGAGAACAGTTTGGTTGATCAATGACCCTACGAACTGTTAACCGTCAAAGCGTAGGATCTCTGGAAGTCACATGCATATCTCGGAAATGTGTCCATTCCTCCGAGCATCTCTTCGCTCCTTTTTGAAAGGCCACTCACACCGGTGGCACCTCTGTTTGAGTACTCATGAGTACACTCCTTCACCTGGCAGGTGCTGCTTGCTGCCTGCTATGCCTCTGTGGGTCTGGTGCATGCCAGGTGCTCAGGAAACAGAGGGACACGAGGCAGGCGGCTGCCTTTGAGGAGGACACGCATTAGCGATACTTCAGCTGGGGCAGGAAAAATTCAGGCTGGGGCAGCCTGATATGTGGCCAGGAAAACTTTGAGAAGGTGGCCGCCCTTGAACCCACCTTTCAAGGATGTCATCCCCCTCATCGTTACCCACTCTCTGTGGGGGACACTGATGACCAGGAGATCTAGGTAGAGTCTGATGTTTCCTTGGCTCCAAGGCAGCTGAGGAAGGAATGGGCAAGCTGTGTTTCAAAAGTGGTTCGAGTCATCTTGCTTGGAAAAGAAGGACCCTGGGCCAGACCGAGGAGTTTTCACGCCTGTTTCCTATAACCCGAGTCTTTCTTAGAATGGTGGCTTATGAAAACAGTTAGTATACTAACTCTATATACTCATTAGAGTATCTGGTGAAAAAAATGTGTTTTCTCATTTGATTAGTAAATGAGTGTTCAACACAGTTTCTAAGACTAGCTCTTAAAAAGAAAACAACAGTTTGGAACATTGATATTATTAAAATTGAGTATATGATTTTCCAGGGGGATGGCTTAATATATTTTATCTTTTTTTTTCTTTTTGGCTTAATATATTTTAATGATAACTAATGTATTTCAAAAGTAATATGTTAATAGAAAAGACCTGGTCCCTTTTCTCATCCAGAGAGAACTAAGATTTTTGAAACAAACCCTCCAGTATCAATCCATTTGATCTCACTTCCAGTTACAGTCCTCCAGTTGGATGTAACATAGTCCCTTGATGGCGGCTACTTGCCATTATGGTTGCTGTGGATGGCACAGTGCTGGTGTGAGTTTGTGTGCTGACTGATATGTGAGGTTGTTTTGAGACCTTTTGAATCTGTCCTTTTTCTCTCTCTCTTCTCGTGGACTGGCTGATGGCCATGGTGTCTGGCTGCTTTCCATGTGTCTTCTTATAACTCCTTCCTAGTACATTCTTTCCCCACGAGGAAATGCTAGCATGGCTAATGACAAGGTTAGCCAACACGTGTTGTTAGAGTAGGAGTAAGCAGGCTCTGCGAGAGCACAAAGGGGCTGTCGTGTACATCGGAGGGCAACATCCGCAATGGCTATTCTAACTGCCAGGAAAGCGTCCCTTGTCTGTAGAGATAATTGTTTTTGCTTTATTCATGACTTCCAGTCAAATGACTTACTATTAGGCATATTTTTCAAGAAGTAAAAAAAAATAAATAAAAAGAAAAGAGAGAGGAGTGGGGGGAGGGAGAGAGGTCCAAGAAGGGGATGGAAGAAAAGTCAAGCCAAGTGCATTCTCTTGGATTCCATTCTGAATGTCTCTCTTTTTACATTTGCCATTCACAGTGGTTTAAACTTCATTGACTTGATGGTGCGACAGGGGAACATCGACAATCCTCCCAAGACCCCCCTGGTGCCAGGATTCGAGTGTTCTGGGATTGTTGAAGCTCTAGGGGACAGCGTGAAAGGATATGAGGTAATGTGCTGACTAATGATGGAAGAAAGTCATATCCATTTGGAATCTGTTGGCATATAAAAGATGATGAAAAAAAGTCCGAGAGAATCTATGGTGTATGTTATTATTGGATCTCACTGGTAGGGTTTACTAACATGTTTATAAATGATAGGATTTTCCACATGCCTCATACCTTTCTCGTGTACTGTCTTGGTTGCTTCTGGGGACAGCCTGGTGAAGTGGCCAGGGAAAAATTTGTCTTCCCCTTAATTCATGCAATACAGCTGTTAACAAGAATATCTGGCCTTGGATTAACTAGGCTTGCATAACCCCTCACCCTCTCCATGGCTCCCATTTTCCCACTGCCTCAGGCTCAAAAACCAACTACAAAACATAGAAGTTGGGCAGAAACATCCTCTGTATTTCATAATTTGGTTCCTTTCAGTATCTACTTAACTGATGCATTTAAGTAATCACTTATAAATGATTCTTTTTTTTTTTTTAAGAACTTATTTCTTTATTTGACAGAGAGAGAGAGAGATCACAAGTAGGCAGAGTGGCAGGCAGAGGGAGAAGGAGAAGCAGGCTTTCCGCTAAGCAGGGAGCCCGTTGTGGGGCTCGATCCCAAAGGCAGACGCTTAACTGACTGAAGCACCCAGGCGCCCCTTATTAATGATTCTTTTGGACACTGGGAAAGTGACATTTTTGAATGATGATTTTTAAAGGCACAGGGTAGAGATACTTGCCAATGAAACAGAACTGGCCAGGGGTTGATGGCTTTGGGAACAGGGCAGTGGATAAAAAGCGATATTATATTTTTCTATTTTGTATGTGTTTGAAATTCTCCATAATAAAAAATTTTTTATCGATGAAAAGATATATGACCCTTCCTACCACTGTAATGCAAATCAAATAGAATCCGGTCTCTAAAAACTGAAAAACTGTGGGCAAATCAATCGCACAAAATTGCAGCAGTTTGGAGTGAGAAAAACCAATGCCAATCAGGTCCAAGAGCTCTCGCTCATAACTTAAGTGCTTCCCCAGGGAGAAATGAATAGAGCTAACATTTGAGAGTCCACCATAACCAGAAACACGGGCAAGTCATCCTTCTTCAGCCTCACCACAATGCTGAGAGGTAAACACTGCTATTATCCCCTTGGAGATGAAGTTCAGAAGGGTACAGGTGTTTCCGATGAGGCCAGAGAGGTAATGGGACATGGATTCAAGTCACCAGATCTTCACGCCAGTTCCCAACCTGCAAATGCTGCAGAGCTAAATGCAGAAAGGAAAATCCTATAGAGGCAACGCCAAAATGCCCTTGGCCTTGAATGGGAGCCTGCGGCTCAGGCTCAGTGCATCTGAGCCTCAGTACACTCTGAAAATATCAATATGTTCCAAATTCCCTGGGATGAATGTCTGAAAAATCTCATCCCACACATCAGTCTTTTTGTCACTGGTTTCCAGATAATACAGCAGAAAAGTGTTAAGACGTAAACGCATTTCCACCTTCCTTTCATATGACTTTGCATTTTCTGTCCCCAGGTTAGCAACAGACCCAGAAGCAGCACCATCTCTCCCAGCAGTGCTGTGTATGAGGAACAGTATCTGTTCTTCACTCCTCCACCTAGTCCTGAAGAAGAAGATCACACTCCTCATGCTATTAATCCTGAGCCTTGCACAAATACTCCATTATTTTAGAATATAACAGTAGACAGTGATGTCATTGGCCTCGGTTTCGAAGGAGGTCATACAGTGCTTGATTATATATTTTTCCTTTATATGTGATCCCTCTTCCACTGCTTAGGCCTGGCTTACTTCCTGTCAGTCCTCTCCTTCACCCCCAGTCCCCTCCAGTGACTTTCAGCTGCATAAACAAATGACAGAAGCCACCTGTAGGTTTCCAGTCTGGGTGCAACTTAGGGGAAAACCGATACTAATATTCCGCCTAAAATTTTGACTTGAGATTTTCAACCACGACATCGGAGATGGACTATCACAGGGCAGCACAGTGAATAGCTGTGGTCTGATGCATTGCAGGGGAGGCTTACGAAGTTGTCTCCAGAGGCACAGCCATAAAGGAAAAACTGGGGCTCCGTCATCCAGCACCGATTTCTTTTTATTAACAAAATCAAACAAGGAGGTGAATTCGATATTTAAAAAAAAAAATAAGCTGCCTACGTCTGGACTCAGACTAGATCTGATGTGATGGCTAAACCACTCTTGGCATTTTTATAAGGAAGCGATGGTGCAAAGTTGAAGGAGAGCCCTGGAGCGGTCAGCCCTGCTGGGATGGCTGTGACCGTCACTGTCGAGGGGGCTGAACTACTCTTCACTGCCCTCTGTGTTGACACTGGGGCCATCAGCTACCCGGAGGTACTATGTGTCTTTGGGTTTGCACGATGCTGTGCGGAAGAGGATGCCAGTGTTAGAACTTGGCTATCCTCCGGTCCAAGCGGGGACCAGATTGGACATTTAAGATGATAATTCCCAACGTTCAGCCGCTGGTCTTCAGCCCCTCTAGGGATTGGGGCACTCACTGCTACGGGGACAGCCTCTCCTTTACATCAGTTCCTTCATTAGACAGCTGTGCCTTCTGCTTTGTGAGACACAGTGGGTCTGTGTTTAGTATGTGATCATTGACCTGTCAGTTCCATGAGACCAGAAACCAGTCTGTTACAGAAATCAGTAACACTGACTGTTCTTTCTTCACCTTGCATGCATCACTGCCAAGTATGCTGTGTGTATATTATGTTATTTACTTTCCCTAAGGACCCCTTCCTAATACATGGAAGAAACGTAAAGAGTTACACTAATATTCCCAGAGGCGGTTGGTCCACCTGGCGTGCAGCCTTAGAGAACTCTGTCTTCTTTGTAGCGCTCACCCCAGGTGTGATGGATTAATCATTTGTATCTGGAGTCCTCCTTGCGAGACTCAATTCCTGTCTCAGCTACTCCCTAGCTACATGACCTTGAGCGTGTGCCTTCATCTCTCTTGGCCTCCATTTCAATGTCTGTAAAATCTATAACTGTTCATCTGTAATATGAGCTCTTACGGACCCATCTCATAGGAGGCTTCTGTTGTCATTTGTCGAGTAGGGAAAGAAGGGGAAGAAGAGAAATGCTAAGCTATAGAGAAAACAGGAGACTCCGTTATAAATACATAAAACTAAAGCACACGTATATAAAAGCCATTCATTTACTGAAACTTCACTCTGACCACAGTGATTTGAATATTGTGTTTGAAAGTCAGAGTCCAAGCAACTAACATCAAAGGGCAGAGTGGTTCAACTTCACCAGCGCTCCACAGCTCCTACAAGCTGCTACCATCGGTTCACTCATTTCTGTTTCCCTTTAATGATGATATGCTATGAAAAAACTTAGCAATCCATCATAACCACTTTAAAGAATGCTTTTTTTTTTTCCCATGATGTCTGGCTATGTAAACAACTGATAAACAGAACACAGTACTCAGCCTTGCCTTCATAGGGGTTTTGTAAAGATGAGATGAGTTAAAACATGCGATGCCCTTAGGACAATGCCTAATGTATAATACGTGTCCAAAAAAGGGCTAGTTGTTTGTCACACCCCATGGCACCCTCCTGTTTTGCTCTAAGTAAGTCTGGTTGTTCTCGTTCAGTCTTCTGCACTTAGATTTACACACGCCTCTGATGTACCCCATCTCATGTCTACTGTGATCTGTAATCCGGTGCTAACCTTTGATGCAAATGCCCCAGTAAACTAGCCTGGCAGGGAATCCCTGTGGAGTAGCAGAAAACAAATGAGAGTAGATTTTACTCTCAGTTCTGCCTGTTTAAATTTCCTTATGGCTTAGTTCTCCTCGACTCCAAAACAGAGATGAGATGCAAGGCTGAGTTGGTAAAATGAGCTCCCGACAATAACATGCTACGGGTGTGATGTGATGACATTGTACATTTATGCTTGGGAAGGGGGGTAGAGAACCTGGCTTCCATGGCCTCCAGCAAGTTTTCATAGATGAGCTTCAGAGCATCCACGAATGCCTTGGAATTGGGAGGTAAGTGAGAGTGAGCGTATTTGAGGGTTTGGTATTCTTTTGTTTTTTTCTGGGAAGGAATCTATAGTTTCCATTAGGTTCTTAAAGGGATTTGAGAAGTCTTGGGGTGCCTGGGTGGCTTAGTTGGTTAAGCGTCTGCCTTTGGGTGAGATCATGAGCCCAGGGTCCTGGGATCGAGCCCCACATCAGGCTCCCTGCTCAGTGGGCAGCCTGTTTCTCCCTCTCCCACTCCCCCAGCTTGTGCTCTCTCTCTCTCTCCCTCTCTGCATCAAATAAATAAAATGTTAAAAAAAAAAAAAGGAGGATTTGAGAAATCTTTCAAAAAAGAGTAAGAAGCTTCCATTAACCTTGTGCCTCCCCATTCCCAGATCGGTGACCGTGTCATGGCATTTGTCAATTACAATGCCTGGGCAGAGGTGGTCTGCACGCCGGTGGAATTTGTCTACAAGATCCCAGACGACATGAGCTTCTCAGAGGCTGCCGCATTCCCCATGAACTTCGTCACAGCCTACATGATGCTGTTTGAAGTTGCCAACCTTCGAGAAGGGATGTCCGTGCTTGTGCACTCGGCTGGCGGCGGCGTGGTAAGTCAGTTGGTTGTGCCTCCTCTTCCTCAAAATCATAATGGTGAGAGTGGACTGAGAGCCAGCTGGCAATGAGATTCCTATGTGAGCTTTGTCCGTTAGTGGCTGTGATCTCTGTGGTTCTGGATGAAGCTCACGTGCGTGGCAGAGCTCATACAGATGACTGTGTTGGGGGTAGGATGAGCGTCTGGAGTCTGAGAGGTCTCCAAGATGGCATGTTAGGACTCAGTGGGTCTTGGAGATGGTTTCAGTATTGGTCTCACAATGGACTGTTACGCTGATCATTATGCGATGCCTCATGAGTCATGCACTACTAATATTATCTGGAGCACCAAAATGGTGGATGACCTACTTCTTTGATAAATCACCATGGATTCTAGGTTGTTCCCATCGTCATGACATCCCTATTCATTTGTGTTCTGATATCTTTTCTTGAGTGGGAGAGGTGAGTGGAGGTTGTATTAGCACACTGGGAATGACACATAAACCTAAAATGCCTGGGAGAGTGGTAGAACACGCTAGTATCACCCATCAGGCGTGTCTTTGATAAGGGGAGAGGAGAAATAACGGAAATACAAAATTGCTGCCTCGCAGATCAGGGGTGGTGGAAATTTCTTCTGTGGTTTGGATATATCTCAGTGCCAGTCAGTCCGTCCCTACTGCACACCTGCCGCACAGCAAGGACTGTGTTCCCATCACAGTCTACTGGGGTCTACGTAGAACTTTGGTCTTTCTGAACGGGAGAGATATGATTTGTTCATCCAACACGTATTTACTGAATACACACTATGTTCTGGATTCTGTGGGTTAGAGATTAAAAAGATAAGTTCCTAATACAGCCTTTAGTAGGGTTTGCCCTCGGTATTGGTGGTTCCATGGTTTGATGAGCTCAGAAATGAATTCGTATGGTTGGGTCTATCTCAAAGATGTTTTCATTGGAGGTTCTGCCAATATTCATTTTTTTTCTTATCTTGGCTTTCTATGGCTATCAAAACCCTACCCGGTATAAAGGATGTTTCTGTTTTCCTTTCCAAGAAGGCAAACTCACACATGAAAATGTGAAGGCAAAGACATGAAACTTTAGGAATGCCTTATGAGGAATATATTCCATCGCGTTAGCAAATGTGCTGATGTCTTCTGACCATGAGTAAAGATATAATAAAAGCTAAACATCCTTAGAAAAGAAATGGATTTCAGTGCCAGTGAATCTACTAGCAGCAAGCAAGCCATTTAGAATGCTGGCATTTATGGTCTTTAAGTGCTCAGCATACCAAGTGCCGGAGACTTGTTTTCATGTTGTCGACACAAACTCCAGTCTCTACAGTGGTGCTGTACCCAGTTCTGCTGGGGACCAGTGTTTAAAACATTGGCACTGATGAGGTTTCCTTTTGTATGTTCATCTTTTTTTCATTTTGAGTTTGTTCCTGGAACCAAGAGGGGCATGTGTCTCACTCTTGGGGGATAACAAAAGTTTTTAGCATGCCTTATTCTGGGCTTCTGGACACTAAAACAGTAAGATCCAAAATGTCAGACAGATTAGGCAAACGGGAAAGGAGCAATGAGATTGGAAGACAAATAGGTGCCCATAATGCAGACTCTGACGTCCTAAAGCTTTGCTGCAGATCCTTCCTTCCTAACCAGCCACACGAGCTAGTGTTCATTTGAGGGAAACAAACCAATTAGTGGGGGAACCATAGCTAGCCCTGTGTTAGGAGACTGGAAGTAGCTCTCTGTGGTTTCTCATAGGAAATATATGTGGACATGCAGTAAACCATCCTCCCCAAGGCTGTTAAAATAAATGCAACTATTTCCGTGATGCTTGTTCTTATGGTGTGCCCTGAATGTCAGCTAATAGCACCAAAGTAAAGCAACATTTAGTGAAAGCAGATATCCAGAGCCAAAGGGATGTGGTTTGTTTTAACCTATGGAGAGTTTAAAGGTGTCATTGGACGGCCCAGCTCTCAAGTGAGTGTGTCTCCTCGAATGATGTTTCTCCCAACCGAGATCTGACTGGTGGTGTGCAGCACTGAGTTCAAGGTAGCCATTAGAGGACTTTTGGCCAACTGCACGTCCATGTATGTGAATACTGAACCAAGCTGGGTGGAGCTGATGCTATCTTACAAAAACCAAGGAGTCCCAGGGAGAGCCCAGACCATTCCATTGCCCCACAGTGGAAAGAGCAGTGAGTCACCCCCAGAGCTAGATTCCTCCCAAGGAACAAGCATTCGCGGCTGTCATGGTGGGGGGCGGGGCTCCCTAGGGAGTGCTTTTTTAGGCACTATCTGGGGTAACCTAGGAAGAATGGAGGCGCTTCCCATCACTGTTGAACAAATCTGGTAAGTGCAGCCTCTGCCCGTGATTGCCGTGCTAGTAGGATTATGACCTCCCACTGACACCCACGTCCTCATCCCTGGCTCCAATGAGTAGTTTCTCTTGCATGGCAAAACAATTTTGCAGATGTGATTAAGGTAAAGACCTCCAGATGGAGAGATGAGCCTGGAAGATCCAGGGGTGCCCAAGGTCATCGCAAGGGTCTTTAAAGATGGAAAAGGAAGGTAGAAGAGTCGGAAAGAGATTTAAAGATGTTGCACTGCTGGCTTTGCTGATGGAGGAAGAGACCACAAGCCAAGGCATGCGGGCGGTGTGCAGGTGCTGGGAAAGACAGGAAAATGGGCTCTCCTCCTGCAGCTTCCTTAAGGGATACAGCCCCACTAACGCTCTGAGTTTAGCTTAGTGAAATCCATTTTGGACCTGTGATCTCCAGGACAAAATACAACTGTTTTCTTTTGTTTTGTTTTTGGAGCCACTGTTCGTGGTGATACGTGGGAAGCTCTCACTGCAGCCTCAAGGGGAAATGAGTGCAGCCACATTCCCTGGGCCACCTCCCTTCTCACTGCAGAGGGCCCACAGGGGCCTGAAAAAGATACAAGAAGCAGGCAGCAGAACTGGGATTCACACCCATCTCTGGCTAATTCCAAAACCTGTTCTCTCCATTCAACAACCCGGAATGTTGGGAAAACCCAAATCATTCATTCCTTCATTTATGCATTTGTTTGACCTCTACCCAGTGTTGACTGTAGAGCCAGGAGCTGTGGTCCCGGGGCATGTTTTCTCACTTGGGGTTGATAAGATGACAGATTATACCTAATTAGGATAGTGGCACCTAGGTGGCGCAGTGGCTTAAGTCTTCCAACTCTTGATTTTGGCTCAGGTCATGAGCTCAGGGACATGAGATCGAGCTCCACGTCAGGCTCTGCACCGGGCGTAGAGTCTGCTTAAGATTCTCTCTCTCCCTCTGCCTGCCCCCATGTTCTCTCCCTCTCTAAAAAACAAAAAAACATCTAATTAGCATAAAGTTTCCTAAGTCAAGTTAATATGAAGTTTGCAGTTCTAATGGCACCAAGACTGCTGTCTGGTTGTTATCCACGGCTGGGGAGTTTGCAGACAGAATGTGAGGAATCCCAGCCTCAGCTGTAATTCTGAAGGACACTAAGACAGCACCGCAGTCCCTTAATATCCAAGGGGGCTTTATTCCAAAACTCCCCACCCCCACCCCATGGATGCCTGGAACTGTAGATACACTAAAGCCTACGTACCATGTTTTTTCCTGTCTGTCCACACCTAGGATAAAGTTTAATTTATCAGTTAGGCATAGTGACAGATGAACAACACAGTGAGAAACAGAATAACACAACAGTGTATTGTAATGAAGTTATAGGACGGTGATCTCTCAAACACCTCATTGTACTGTAGGCACCCTTCCTGTGACCATGTGAGATGGTAAGATGCCTCATGATGACTAGGAATGAGGTGAATGATGTAGGCTCGGGGATGTAGCACCAGGCTCCTGCTGGCCTTTCCGACCGTCTGCTTCTGGACCTGGGTTGACCACAGGCAGTTGAAACCGCGGAGAGAAAAACCGCAGATAAGGGAGGGACCACTGCGTAGTAAAGCAATTCCATCCTGAGCAGATTACTTTCCCAATGGAATTGCCCCGGTGTCTACACTGCTCCGTCACATCTTTGAACACACTTTCCCTGTGACAAGAGCAGAACCCGACAGCCTGAGAAGGTAATGCCCCTGATCGTATTTTCAGAATCTGGTAAAAAATGGGCCTACAGTCTCATAAAGGGAAAGTGAGTGGGGCTCGGGTCAGGGCCTTACGACCAGGAATTTGCTGCCCGTCCCATTTACCAAGCTGGTAGGGCCCGGGCTGTCTTGGTTGGGATGTGCTTGGTTTCTGCAGGGTGGCATTGCTGTCACTTGCGGTCCGTTGTGTCTGTCTGACATTTGATGCTTTCCAGTTTTGGGCATTCTTTTACCTTTTCATCATGTCATCTGAACAGAGAGGCGCAGCCTGCGACGGGCCACAGATCTTGGAAAGGAAAGCAGAGCTCAGCTTCCAGACGGACTTAAATGGCTACTACTCAATTATTCAGTTGTACTCATTAGGGATGGGGCACTTCCCCCTGCCACTGAAATCACTGGGAGGGAGCAACCACAGATGGGAGAGCCGGGGTCTTCGGAGGGGGCACCCGAGGCTCCCCCACCACAAATGGTCCTCTCTGAATGGCCGACTCACCATACGTCATGTTAACATTACACTGGTAGAGCCTGGGGGGAAGTCTGGGTCCTCCGTGTGCTGGAGGATTTGGACCTGTCGGATAGTCATTCCGTTTTATCAGAAAGGACACAACCATCTGCAGAATCACTATGTGAGAATATTTTGTTGAAAACAAAATCATCATTGATCACGGAAGGCCCCAGCCTCTACCCAGCCAACCTAGCCAGCAATGCAGGAGCCGTGGGGAGCCCTTCTGCATGGGATAATTTTCCATATCTTATGATTCAGTCCTTCGTTCATTTGCTCATTCTGCACAGAGGTACAAGGGCCTTCCCAGTTCCAGATTAGGCACTAGGCATTCAACAGAGAAAAAAAACAGATTTTCTCCTTCCAGCAAGAAGCCCTATAAATCAAAAGTGGGCAAAGAACTACAGAA